CAAATGATCTTCACGCATAATAGCATCAAATTTGGACTGTACTGGAACTAAAGCAAGTGATTTCGAGCCTGCGTCATTATCGCATAGCAACACATTTGGTTCGGGTCCATTCAGATACTGATCCAATTCAGCCAGATCTAAATTGATTGGAGACGCTCCCAGTAAAATTGGGTCAAACTCGAGTGTTCCTGACAGCTGCTCTGCATTACTGCCATCTTCGTCGATGAGTGATAGTGCATTGGTGATGTTCGATGCTGCAGTTATAGCATTATCTGTAGCTGACGACGTCTGGTCTTGATCTTGAGGTGTTGTTATTGAGTGATAAGGTTCTAAGAAAGTGTCACCAAAATCAGTAATTTTCATTTGCGTTTCAAACTCGGAACCATGAAGATTCGTGAGCAATTCGTGTGCTCCAAAGGGCTGGTGCTTATCGCTGAGATTTGTTTGTTGTCGTTGTTGTGTGTTGTGTGTTTTGGGTGTGGTATCAGGAGTGTGTGAAAACATAGTGGAATTATTCTGTAATAATACATCTGAAGACGACTCTGAAGGTACGCATCCCGCTGATACACTACCAGGTGTATACCCCAGTTCATCATCTTCCTCATTGAAAAGTGGCCTTAAATCACTGTCATTTCTTGGGGCCACGTATGATTCACATAGTGGATTATACTCATCCAACAGTGGACCGAATTCGTCCACATCGTAACGAGGCGGTTCGAGGCTCATTTCGGCAGAGTGCGATTTGCAACGAGAACGGGAAGTCTCGTAAGGATCTGAAATTTTTGTGCTTGATCATCTGCGAGCGTTAATATCCGAGCTGTTGATTTTGGAGTGTAATGCTGAGATATTACTGCGATTGATTCAAATGAGATATATTGTGCGGAATGCTTGCTTAGTAATTCGTCAGTTACAATTTAGTGATTGATAAAATCTTCTCTTTTCATGCGTTCACAACTATCACTTACAGCAGCTTGCATTCGTAACTTTGAAATGTTTCTTCGAAACTTATTCTCGAAACCATTATCTGATCTACGAACTGATCCCACGAATTTTTGTTCATCTTTTTCACATTTACCTTAATACCTATCGTTCTTTCCAGCCAAAACCATTTTTAA